TTAAGATATAAATAATATCAAATGAAAACTATTACATTTTATCTAATCATTTAAGGAAATGAGGTCAATTTATCCTTTAGTAGCCTAAGTCTGCAGCAGCATAACAAGCCAACCCTAACTATAGGATTTATCAAAAAGGAAAGTCTTAATCCCAGTCTTTAAACTGGACAATGTGTCAGCCTCACAGACAGAAACTGGAAGTTGGTTCCACAAGAGAGGAGCCTAATAACTGAAAGATCTTCCTCCCATCCTGCTTTTGGAAACACTAGGAACCACAAGTAAACCTGCAGTCTTGAGAGTGAAGTGCTCTGTTAGTAAAATATGGAACAATAAGATCTGTAATATAAGATGGAACTAGGTTGTTGAGAGCTTTGTAGGTTAGAAGTAAGATTTTGAATTCTATTCTGGACTTGACAGGGAGCCAGTGGAAAGAAACTAAAACTGGAGAGACATGATCTCTCCTACTAACTCAATTTAAAACTCTGGCAGCAGCATTTTGGATTAACTGTTCAAACATTTTAGATTAACTATTCAAATCCCTCATCAACGACGGACATCGATGTACAGATTGTTATCAGCTTTGCATCTGATTCAGCTTTTTAGGAATCTGCTGTCAAGAAATTTTGTATAAAGCAAAGAGGAAATCTAGGAGGTTACACCTCCCTGATCAGGAAACGCCTGTCCAATATGTTTATCAGCAGAACTCACCACCATTTCTTAAATTGTGTGTTAGCAGTGTGTAACATAGAGTCACTCACCACTTTGTGAGGCCAACAAAACCAGGCAACTGGACCAGAACACTGGAAGAGCAGGGAACAGCTTCATAGCACAACCTGCGCGGGGGGGTGGGGGTGTTAAATATAAATAAACATAACCTCAGACGTGTTTCTTTGTAGTTTTCCCCCTAAATCAAATCATTTTACACCGAAACAAGTGGAAAGAAGAACATCCAGCTAAAAATATTGTTTTACAAAATGTGTTTCCAGTTTGGAGCGCACCCCCACTGCACCAGATGCAGTGAAGACGCTCACAGGTTTCACACTAAGTCACTTCCTGGCTTTTGAACTTCTCCTTTATGTTAAGTGGTTTCATAGAGAGTTCCTGTAAGTCGTCTTGGAGGGACAAAGAATCAGATTGAACGAAAATGCTTAACTAGTTTCTATTTTAACTCTTCGCTTTGCCTTGAAGTATTGAAGGGTTCAGAGACACAGATTTCTGCCACATGACAAGAATGACAAAGTATTGCTCTGTTTTGTTTCCACTTAAAAATGAATCCTCAAACTTAGGCATAATGTTTTTTTTTTTTTTAAATTAAAACTTATAACAAAGCATCCAGACATCTACAGTATGATCTATTTCCTGTAAACAGTTTATAAAAAGCTGTTACCTGCTGCTGACCTTCCACCCTGACGCTGCCCGTGTTTCTCTGCCATAAGACAAAGTGACAAGATTTTGGGGAAATATGAAGTGTGACGTCACGTACTGTAGAGATCTTCAGGAAATCGAGGCCTTTTTTTTGTTTCTCTTCAGTCTTCACTCGCGTGTGTACACCACAAGATGTTCAGAGCGTAGTTTGTTTTCCTGGCTAAACCACAAACAATGTTTTCACGGTGTGTAAAATCAAAATGTTTAAATGTTTAAAGGTGCTTAGAGTCAGGAACTTTGGCAATTTGAGAAGGGGCTACAGAGATCTGGATTATCACCTGGGGGAGGGGCTACAGAGATCTGGGTTATCACCTGGGGGGAGGGGCTACAGAGATCTGGGTCATCACCTGGGGG